CATTACTGTCAGTGCATTATTGTTGCATTACAGTTAGATTACTGTTAAATATTAGTGTACAATACTGTCAGCGCATTATTGTGGCATTGCAGTTAGATTACTGTTAACGATTAGTGTACATTACTGTCAGCGCATTATTGTTGCATTGCAGTTAGATTACTGTTAAAGATTAATGTACATTACTGTCAGTGCATTATTGTTGCATTACAGTTAGATTACTGTTAAATATTAGTGTACATTACTGTCAGTGCATTATTTGTTGCATTACAGTCAGATTACTGTTAAATATTAGTGTACATTACTGTCAGTACATTATTTGTTACATTACAGTTAGATTACACTTAAAGATAAGTGTACATTACTGTCAGTACATTATTGTTGCATTAAAGTTAGATTACTGTTAAATATTAGTGTACATTACTGTCACTGCGATATTGTTGCATTACAGTTAGAGTACTGTTAAATATTAGTGTACAATACTGTCAGTGCATATATTTGTTGCATTACAGTCAGATTACTGGTAAATATTAGTGTACATTACTGTCAGTGCATTATTGTTGCATTACAATTAGATTACCGTTAAAGATTAATGAACATTACTGTCAGTGCATTGTTTGTTATATTACAGTTATATTATTGTTAAAGATTAAAGTACATTACTGTCAGTGTATTATTTGTTGCATTACAGTCAGATTGCTGTTAAATATTAGTGTGTATTACTGTCAGTGCATTATTTGTTGCATTACAGTCAGATTACTGTGAAATATAAGTGTGTATTACTGTCAGTGCATTATTTGTTGCATTACAGTTAGATTACTATTAAATATTAGTGTACATTACTGTCAGTGCATTATTTGTTACATTACAGTTAGATTACTGTTAAATATTATTGTTGAATTACAGTTAGATTACTGTTAAATATCAGTGTACATTACTGTCAGTGAATTATTGTTGAATTACAGTTAGATTACTGTTAAATATTAGTGTACATTACTGTCAGTACATTATTTGTTACATTACATTTAGATTACTGTTAAATATTAGTGCACATTACTTTCAGAGCATTATTTGTTACATTACAGTTAGATTACTGTTAAATATTAGTGTACATTACTGTCAGTGCATTATTTGTTACATTACAGTCAGATTACTGTTAAATATTAGTGTACATTACTGTCAGTGAATTATTGTTGAATTACAGGTAGATTACTGTTAAATATTAGTGTACATTACTGTTAGCGCATTATTTGTTACATTACAGTTCAGATTACTGTTAAATATTAAGTGTACATTACTGTCAGTGAATTATTGTTGAATTACAGGTAGATTACTGTTAAATATTAGTTTACATTACTGTCAGTGCATTATTGTTGCATTACAGTTCGATCACTCTTAAAGATAAGTGTACATTACTGTCAGTACATTATTGTTGCATTAAAGTTAGATTACTGTTAAATATTAGTGTACATTACTGTCACTGCGATATTGTTGCATTACAGTTAGAGTACTGTTAAATATTAGTGTACAATACTGTCAGTGCATATATTTGTTGCATTACAGTCAGATTACTGGTAAATATTAGTGTAAATTACTGTCAGTGCATTATTGTTGCATTACAGTTAGATTACTGTTAAATGATTAATGT